TTCAACTTCCTGAAGGGAGGTTTCAAAGAGGATGGAGAGAGGCTGTTCTCAGTAGTGACAGATGGCAGCACAAGGAGCAATGGTCTCAAGTTGTGGTGGGAGAGGTCCAGGTTGGATATTAGGAAAAACTATTTCACTAGGAGGGTGATGAAGCACTGGGTTACCTAGGAAAGTAGTGGAGTCTCCATCCCTAAAGGTGTTTAAGTCTCGGCTTGACAAAGCCCTGCCAGGTTGATTTAGTTGGGATTGGTCCTGCCTAGAGCAGGGGGCTCGACTTGATGACCTTCTGAGGTCTCTTCCAGCTCTATGATTCTATAAGAATCAATGCACACAAAACGGATATCAGACAATATCATAAAGAAAAAAGTTTCTTGCCATTTCAACCAGAAAGGGCATTGTCTCAACGACTTGATTACCTGTATACTGCTTCAAAGGCATTTTAACACCAGACTTGAAAGAGAAACCTCTGAACTGTCATTCATGCTTAAATTTGACACTTTACGCCGGGGTCTTAACAAGGATGCTAATTACCTTACCAATTACAAAGATAGCTTCCCCACTTATCACCTCTAATATCATTAGCTCACAGACATTTACCTCCCCTCCCTCATCCTCCCTCTGTTCTGAAATTTGATTTGTCCTTTTTGTGTGTTCACTTTTTTTGATTGTATCCCTTTGGTATATATGGTCATGCCTATTTCCTTCCACAATTTGATCTGAGGAAGTGGGTCTGGCCCGCGAAAGCTCATCATCTAATAAACCATCTTGTTAGTCTTTAAAGTGCTACATAGTCCTGTTTTTTATTCCTCCTAGCCAGATACTCTACCCCCAATCTGCTCCTGCTCCCGCCTCCTGGAGTGCCCATGCGGCGCCAGTCCCCCAAGCCCTGGCTCAGACTGGGTGGAGGATGCAGCCAGGTGAAACACTGAAAATGTATTCCTTTTTCATTCTTTTTTTATATGCTTTTATATTTTTGGGCTGCAAAAAACAGTACTAAAAAAAAGGGTTCCAACTAAAGTAAAAAGTTTGGGAAACCCTGATCTAACCAGCTTTCTATCTATCTTACAGTCCATTTATCCAATCAATATTCCTTTAACTTGCTGGCAAGAATACTGTAGGTGTCTGTATCAAAAGCTTTGCTAATGCTGGCACTGAGGGCTTTGGAAGGACCAGAAACAACTTACTTGAATATTCATCATTTGCTTAATGAATATGCAAATATGCAAATGAATGTTACCGGTCCTCCAAAAGCTCGTGAATGGATTTACTGGTCCCCACGTCAAAAAGTTTAGGAACCCCTGGCTTATGGAATGGCCATGGTGGTGGCAGGACAATTATGGAAAGCAAATTGATTACAGCATGATGCCAGAGTTATCAAAATTGTTTAGCTGTGATGAGTGGATGCTGGCATTTTTTTTAAACATGAAGTGATCTGTACATTTAAAAATATAATAAACTTTTTAAAAGTCATACTGCCTGTTACCATTTCTCTTTAACAAACCATTGTGAGCTGTATTCAAAGACAAAAAACCCTTCTGCAGTTTTTCCATGATTGCTGCATTCAGTTATGCGGATATGGATTTCCTCCAGATTTAGGCACAGCAAAGACAACATTAGTTTATAGTAGATTAGAGGACATATCCCATATGTGACCAGGAATGTACAAAGTCTCCAATGACACATGGTTTTTCAATGTTTACACATTCTGCTGTCTTCAAAATTATGGAAACTTTTCCATCAGACTGTATATAAGAAGTATACTGTTTATACTTAGGAACAGCATCCCTTTTTTAGTGATTAAAATGCAGAATTAAGAGTATAAATAGTATGTAAGCTACAGCTTATTCGGCCACATTTAAATTAGCTTTTCAAAGCAAATACTTTCATTTGTATATCACAGAAAGGCAGTACTGGAAGTGATCTTGAGATATCCTCTAGTTCATCCCCATGCACTTAGACATAATTAAGGCAGCATAGACCAGCAGTTTCCAGTCTACAGGGTCGCAACCCAGTGCTTGGTCGCGGAATATCAGACACTGGGTCTCTTCACTACAGAGTGATCAGTGGAGGTTCTAAGGCAGGCTTCTTGCCTGTCCTGGCACTGCAGACTGTGCTGCACCCCAGAAGCAGCCAGCAGCAGGCCCAGCTCCTAGGTGAGGGCAGGGGATAGAAGAGCGCACAGGGCTCTGTGCATTGCTCCTGCCCTGAACACTAGCTCTGCACTCCCATTGGCTAGAATCTGCTACTGGCTGCTTCTGGGGCTCAGCATGCTCAGAAGTGCTAGAACAGGGAAGAAGCTGGTCTTAGCACCACTGACTGGGAGCTGCTCAAGGTAAGCGCTTCCTGACTAACCCCTAAAGCTGGAGCTCTCATTCTTAGCCACACTCCAGAGCCCACACTTCAGTCAAATTATGTTGGGTCATGGGCATCAATAATTTTATACAACTAAGTCCTGAGAAAAAAGTTTGAAAACCACTGGCATATACCATCCCTCTTATGATTAAATGCAAACCACTTCAAGTGCTTACCATTAGTGTTCTGCAATGCAGATTAGTGCTGTCCGCGCTGGTGGCTCTGCTCCGTCTTCATATGGCAAAGATCAGTCTTGGTCTCCTTAGTAGCTGGTTAGCTTGACCTTGCTATGTGGGTCTGGGCTTCATCAAACTCCTGAGCACCACAACTAACCCCTTCTCCTCTCCTCACCCCAGCACCAGCATGGATACAGCTGGGCTAATGGAGAATGCAACCTTAGCTGGGAAGTGGATCAGCTACCCATCAGATTATGGATATTGAGCAGCTATAGGGTGCCATGACAGGATTACAATGCGGAAAGGGGGCAGGGTTGGTGACCAAGTGATATGGTAATATTCACAGCAGGTAATATGACAGGGGTATGTCAGGCTACAAGGCATTAGGGCAGGGTTAGGGCAAGGTGTGTGGTGCACAGTTACAGGGTGAGTTAATGTGACAGGGTAGGTTCCAGAGCAGCATGGCAAGATGACAGGGTGGGGTCAAAGCAGGCTATGGAATAGTATGCAGAGTGTGGTGAGCTTGTGTAGTATTGGATTATGTGGGGAGTTGACAGCAGCTTGGGGGCCAGTGTGGTGGGGACAGGCAGGGAGATCTGGTGGGCTCCCCTAGTAGACAGGGCCAGATTTCGTATGCAGAGTGTGGTGAGCTTGTGTAGTATTGGATTATGTGGGGAGTTGACAGCAGCTTGGGGGCCAGTGTGGTGGGGACAGGCAGGGAGATCTGGTGGGCTCCCCTAGTAGACAGGGCCAGATTTCCAAGTGGGTTAAAAGCTAACGTCGATCTGTGCAGCTCTCCTGCGGGCAGCCCGGCACCTGAGGCAAGCTGGTGGCTGTCCAGCATGTGGCTTGGAGCAGGGCGGCTGC